TTAAAAATAAAATAAAAAATTAGACCGAGACATAGTATTGATATTGTTAGGAACATAAACATTAGTGCACAATTTGAGTTATCTAAATTAAAGACCATGTGATCTCATCAAATGATCAAGTCAAACATCTCAATTAATTGCATGATATCTACATGATTAGCGATAATAGATCTATTAAAACTCAACAACTTTAAAATAATCAGCAAACTAATCATCAGTTTATTACAGCTGATTTAATTAAAAAATAATTACTCCTAAAGTATCGTTTGGTAAGGAGGACTAAGTGGATTGATTATCTACTCATGTCGATATTTTAATCTTGTGTTTGGCTGAGGATATCAATAAACATGATAAAATTTATATTTGCAATTATGAGATTATTTATCTTAATCTTATATAGAAGATTGGTAAGTTTGATTATATTTTCAAAATAATCTTATTTTAAACCAAACGAACCCAGTACAACCAACCGAAATGACTATATTACCCCTGAACATGTCACGTGCCATTTTTTGAGTTGGACCATTTTATACAACAACTATACAGTTGGACTGTAGAGATACATCGTTTTCCTCTTTAAAAATAGTCTACTTTGTATCCCCACCTTGCATTTACCTTCTTTTATAAGCCATAAAAAAACGCTTACTCACAAGTCATAACTCATAAATCCCCAAAATCTCACTCTGTTTTGTCTACTCTCATGGAGATCGGCTCATGGTGCGATTCCGACGCCGGAAACATCAGCTGGCGGCGGAGCTACTCCGGCAGAGACTACGATCCGTTCGTCTCCTATAAGTTGCCGGTGAACAGATCGAGCAAAGGACCGATCTGGAGATTTTTATGGAGGAAGATCAGAAAAGAGAAAAGGCGAGTTTTCGATTGTTCAAATTCAATGCGGTTTACTTATGATCCTCATTCTTATTCCCAGAATTTCGATGATCAGAGTTCTATTTTTGCTGATGAAGATGAACTTTCTAGATCATTCTCTGCTCGGTTTGCTGTTCCTTCTAGAATCTTCCCCAAAAATGACTTAGTTGCTTAATGGAGCAAAAAATGAATGAAGTAATTAGAGGTTTTATTTTGCTATTCTGTTGTTACAAACTTACCGAAAATGTAATTCTTCCTTAATTTCAGTGTTACATGAGAATATTTTAGAAAATGTGTTTTGACTCTGTTTTACTTGTTTATGTTTTAGTGGTGGAGGTACTTAATTCACAAGTAAAGAAAGATGCTTTGCAGATAAAATCTTGCTTTTGATTTCTCTGTTTTTTGTCTTCATGCACTACCACCCGATGCTTTTACACAGACATTTGACTTGGCCTTCTTATCTTTAATTCTTCCTCTCAATTGATTAGTTTGATTAATTCAAATTTCTATAATCTAAATTTAATTAGTTCAATTAATTCAATTTCATATAGAGTAATCCAAATTCGTATTCGTATAGTGTAGAATCAGTTAAAGGATGAAAACAACTCCTTAGTTTTTCCTTTCGGTCAAGTGATCACGTAGATTTCACCGTATTTCTTGGTCGTTACATTTCTTTATATTAATTTATGTAAAGGTACCAACTCATAACGTCAATGAGATATTTTTAAAGCTTATATTCTCAATACGAACTTAAGTTAATATATACTCCTATAATATAATTTTTTAGTAATTTTTTAAAACTACTCCTTAATCTTAATTTATATGTTATAGTCCTAATTTCGAGAGTCATCATTAATTTGATAATAATATTTAAATATAAGATTTATATTTGAGAATTTCGTAAATAATATTATAAATCATAATAATTATTATTCAAGATATTTATAAAAAATTATGATGAAAAACTTCGTTTATCATATAATTTAGAGAAAAAAAATACTGAATTCACGAGAATCGATAATTTAGATATCGGCATCCGCCTTTTCACTTTCATTTTCTTATTTTGAAATCTAAACAGAAGGAATACTAATCCGGCGGAAAGAAGAATTGTTGCCTATTTTTTAAGTATTCAACAAGATTAGGTGATGATGGAATCTTTCGTTCACGAGTCGTGGTGATTAATTTTGTATTAATCTAAGCTATTTGTTTAGTTTTATCTCATAGTCATATAGGATAGAGCCTAATTTAATTAAGAGGGGAATGAATTCTTCTGGAAAAAATGATTAATTGAGAATTCAATTATAGTTGGTGTTGATTATAGGTATTAGTAGTAGCCCATAGAAAGCTAATGGAGAAGGGACAAGGTGGGCCCTCCAAGCCGCAAATTCATCCCAAACAAGTGCTTGTATGCATGTGAAGGCCATATTGAAAGACCAAAAAAAATAAGAATACAACAATTTGGGATGTATTACAAGTCACAAAATTAAAAGATAGTTTGCTACATTTTTGATTTTTTTTTTTATATGAGTTCATAAAATTTTAATTTGTTCTTATTTTTTTAATTTCTTAAGTTAAAATACGTCACATACAACCAACTATGTGAGGAACTTTAACTAAATTGTATATCCCCTTTAATCTAATAGTGGCACTATAGCATATAGTTAACTAACTATAATTAAGAGTTTGAAAATGAAAGTATTAATAGTATGACGTTTCGATCATTTTAGTTTCACGAAGATAAAATCATAGATTAGTTAATACATAATAGGAAAAAATGAGATTAACTAGCTATTTGAGATTGAAACTTAGTTATTGTTGTTCTTGTTACACTGACATTAGCTTTGAGTATCTAACAAGAGTCAGAAAAATTGGTTGTTAGTAAATTTAGAGAATATTTAGTTTTTTATTAATTCCTAGTTTGCTTTAAAAGATTAAACATCTAATAAAGTAAAACGGTTAGAAAATAATTTGGAATTGCAACTTAATTGACTAATCGAACACCATCAAAAGATGTGGTGCAGTGAATGGGGTTGGTCTTTCCTTAATCAAAGGTTTCGGTGCAAGTCCTGAGTATGAAAATATTTTTGTAGAGAACGCTTTCACCTGAGCGGATTTCTATCCTGCACAAATCAGGAATTTCAGCTCTTGTCCAAGTATCAAACACTGATATTATTTTATTTTTTTTTGGGGGGAGTTCAGCTCTTGTCCAAGTATCAAACACTGATATTATTATTATTTTTTTTGGGGGGAGGGGGGGGGGGCAGTGACAAAATAGGTGGCTGAGGTTGAGATGACCAGTCACAAAGATGGTTCAAATTGAGGAAATTGGTATGTATTGAAGGGATAAAAAACACAAGTGTATTATATATGACAAGGGTTATTCAGTTTCACAATGGGACCAACAGGCAACAAACAAAAGTTCAGTTTAACTTGACCTTTTCCTTGGAGAATAGGTTTATTCAACTATTTAGACATGACCCCAGTGTTAATTCTTGTTAAGAAAATTCTTATATTTAATCATTTATCAACCTACTAGGTAACAATCTTGATAAGATGTGACATCCTCAATCTCTTTATTCATGCATCTTAAAATCAATTTGAACTTGAGAAATCAAGGTAAAAATATGTCTTCATCAGTTATAACTTTGCGATAATCATGTTATCAAAGACGTACGTATATTATGTATATGTTGGGTTGGTGTAGTACATATTCAGGTGATTTACACTAAATCACATGAATTGACCATGATTAAGTAATAATTGGATGCAAAAACATATTAATTAGTTATGATAAGTGATAAAAGATACCACAATAATATACAAGTATAATCTCATAAGTGGAGTCGGTGAAAGAGAATGTATGTGCCACAAGTCCACAACCTTACTAATCCCTACCTTGTGAAAGTTTAGATATATAGTTTCTGATGAACCTTCGATCATTAAAAAGATATCTATATCATATGATAAAGTATTCATATATATTTCAGCCTTATGTGGCTAGAGATAAGGCTTTGATTGCCCCCTTTTCCCCCCTTGAAATGTGTTTTTAACATTCATGTCCTAAGATAATAAAACATCACATGTCACCAGGGAAATGTTTTTGCACTTTGCTTAACCAAGAATAAATATGTGATCTTCTTATTATATTTTGTTGTCGAGGCATTTTTATATGTGTGAACTTGTTATTCTACTTTTCACCAACAACTTTACACGCATTAATGTCACCATTTTCCCACCTTTTATCAATATCATCAGTCATCTATTTAGATTTCCACATAAGATAACTATTTCAATAGAAGTAATAAAAACTTAATATATATGTAAAAAAAAAAAGTAGTAATATATTATATATGTACACATTCTTCAACTTGAATCGTCCTACAGATTTAATTTCTAATGGTCCCCTTTTCATTTAATGAAACCTGGAAATAATACCAACAATATTGTCCTCTTATACAATTCTGACACTTGCAACTAACCCTGACACCCACCAATCTGATCTATCAATTCATCATATAGTAGTACACTACGTAGCAACAACTCTTCAAGCGCAAAAAATAACGGTTGACTCGCTACCAGTGGCGTTAGAGGCAGAATTTAGACGTTGTAAATTTAGAATTGAGAAAATGTATATCCAACTATATATATGCTTGTGTTTTTCACATATTATATAAGATACTACCTCAAAATAGTGAATTCTACAAAACTCAATAACCTGTGGTTGGATCCACCACTGTACACTACCTCACAGATGTCATATACTCGTAATTGTGAATGCAAGATACGGCAAGTGGTGGTGGAGTTAGGTAGGGTCAAGAGGGTTCATCTGAATCTCCTTTAGAAAAAAATTACATATATACTAGATATTGAATCCTTTAACTTCTCCATATGTTTATTTATTCATATTTTGAACCCCTTAGTAAAAATTCAAAAAGACCTTGTTGAATCACCTCTATGAACAATTCATATGTGAATTTAGAAGAGTCTGTATTAACAATACTATTTGAGTGTATTATACACGAGGTCTCATGGCATATTATAGATATAGAAGCAAAAAATTAGTGAATAAATGGTGAAAAGCAAATTCTGTTGGACTACTCGTTCACCATATTCAAAAGAATTACAAAGACTAGCTATATGAGAGACAGACCACATATTACAATGACCAAATAGAAACTGCAGTCTATGAAGATTGATCGAATTGACTGATAGAGAACCAAACCATACTCCAATATGGATAGAGCTCCATCCCAATTATCCTTCCCTCGTTCTGTGTCTTTGGCCCTTTCTTCATCAGGAACTACTTCCTTGCGAACTATTCGTGCAATCACTATTGTAAAATCAGTTAGCAACAATATGTAAAGTGGCCTTGAGGCAACAAAGCTATTTGACCTCGCTATACTAAGTGGTATATGGGCATAAGACAGGACAACTAATAACGAAATCATGACAGAACAAATTACTCGTTTATTCTCCGAAATCAGAATGCAAGAATTGATATCTCTAAGAGAAAATAAACTAAGGAAATTGTAGCGTTTTCTTGGAACCACATCAGCTGATGATTTTACTTCCTTCTGTTTTGCAGATATTTCTTCAGTTTGTAAACCAGAAATATTTGGTTGAGAAATTTCATTAATATCATCTTCCAAGCTAGCTGCAAAACCCCATTAGATAGGATGATTTTAGTTTCTTCATTATGATCCCATATTTAATACTCCATATTTCAGCAAATTAAATTCCCATAATCCATTTTCATGATAACATATGAAAAGGAAGATTATTACATTACCTGATGATAAATGTGAATGATGAATCTCCATTATATCAAACTTATCTCGACAGACTTTCAATCTAGAAAATTTAGAAACATAAAAATTAGACCCTTGTTTCTCTGTGCTGCGTGTCGTGTTCTCCGGGTATACCTCCTCTACAAACTAGTTGAAGGCTTGTTTCATATTGGGCCCATTTCTCTCTTAGTTGGGGGTCCAATAAAAATGTGATCGGCCTTTTCAAATTACGACAATCTCAAGGCCCCAGTTTAATTATTTTTTTTGCAAGTTTAATCTTGGTATTAATTAGCTATAGGAGTAATACATAAAAATTTCCTTAAATTGTCGTCAACTAATACCTATGCCTTGTAACTTTGGAATATAATTGAACAAAGTAGACAAAAACTTACTATATAGCAATTTGGTTCCTAATTTAACTTGGCATCCTACTAGTATTATATAAAATTTAAATAGGGCCTATTTGAACTTGAAGACACTTGGGAAAAACAATTGGAAAAAATGGTGGAATCGAAGAGGCAAAACCTTCACCTTTCGGGGGAGGAGAAGGAGCATCGACGCCATTACCAGAGTGGCAAAAACCTCGGCTTGAAGCAGAACCAGAAAAAACTAAAGAACCTAGTCTAGAATGGATTGCTTTACAATTCGACAAGGCTAAGCAAGAAAGAAGTGAACAAGGATGTGAGGATGTGCAACAAGACAAGTGGGAAGCATACATTCTTCTTGAGATCAAACGAGCTCAAGAAGAACTAGCACAAGTAAAAGGAGAAGAAGAACATGTGATTGTGCCACCGGAAAAGAGGCAATTTGAACAAGGAAAGTGCATCAAAGGGATGTCTTTAGACCCCTATTGCAATTGCTCTTCACACCCATGCCCTGGATTCGATAAACTCACTCTTGATACTCCCATGGGTGCTGTGGAGGAGTATACCGATCATTATGTCCCTATTTGGCTCCATTACATCAGTCAACTTCGTCAAACCCATGTTTGCTTCCTTTTATTTATCGATTTGATTTATGTTTCTTGTGTAGCTTCATATATCTTTTAGTAATTGCTAACTAATTTTGTACGTATCAATTTCCTTGCTAATCAATCTCTTAGGTGCAATAATAATTTCATGTTGTCATGTCAAATTTATCAAAGTTGAACCAATCTATTTCACTAATTATTTTCATATATGTATTGGAGGGTAAAGTGTTGATCCTACTACCTATGAATTGTTTTGGTTCCCTTTGTCATTAAACCTTTGATTCCCGTGATGTCCCCGCTCGAATTTGATATTCCATTATGATCCCCTCTTTCTTTCAGTTTGTATAGTTTCGTCCCTGTTGACTTGTTTTTTCAGTTTGTATAGTTTCATCCCAATTGGTTTGTTGGCTTGTTCTTTCAGTTTGTATAGTTTCATCCATGTTGGCTTGTTCTTTCAATTTGTGTAGTTTCATCCCTGTTGGCTTGTTTTATAGTGTTTTGACATTGATGTCCATCCCGGTTCGTCTTTGGGTGCTGGAGTATTAGTATATAACTTCAATGAAGATGCTGAGTTAATGATGGAACTGGCTAACCGCGCCATTCAGGAATATAACGAGAGAGAGTGTAATGTATGCTCCTGACTCTTTTTTTTCCTGCTTGGTTTCCTCTTTTAAGTGATAATTAGTAACTCTCCTTACAGGTTTTCAAGTACAAGGTTTTGAAGATTGAAAAAGTGAATTCTACGGTGACAGATTACTTTGATTATTTTATGACTGTGAAAGTCAGAAATCTCACTCTTGTTACTCCTATTGAGACTTTCCAAATTCATGCTGGTAAAAGGTGTCGCGATGATGGTGGAAAAGCAATCTATTGTTGTCAGCCTAAGAGAGAGGTGAACACCTAATAAGGATTACATTTTTCTTTGTATGAACAATGCACTTACTTGATAACTAACTTTAATTTTGATTTCTTTCTCTAAACTAATTCACAGGCAGTTGTTGGTTTGGCAAATTGCGATCTTTGTCTTCGTAAGCTGCGAGGAGAGGCGTGCCAGGGAGAAAAGGAAAAGGCACTTGAAGAAGTATAGTTACATAATTTGGACCATTTGAGATTTCATCATTATGGTTTTAAATTATGTAACTTGGCTCTTGGTTGAGATTTTATCATTTGTAGTTTACCCCTTTGTTAATTGAAGTATCTGAATTATTAGCCGTTGGACTATGGTTTTTTTAGATTTAGTTAGTGCTTGTTGAGAACATTTCAATCTCTGTATTTTACTTTGAGAAATGATCTGACATGTTAGTTAATTGAAGTATTTGATATTCTAAAGCTGGGAATGAAAAAGGTTATGCGGCATTTTCTTTAGCCAGCATTCGTATATAAGTATCTTTTTTCTGATTTTTTTGAGGCCTTGTCTTTCTATGTTGTTTAACCCTTGTATGTACGACCAACATTTAACAAGTATGTATTAATGGAAAAATGGATTTCCTAGTACCTAATATTTTTGGCTCTATGCGTTTGCCCGAGCTTGAAGAAATTGAAGATCTTCTGTAATTACCTGGTGATGGTGAGAAGCATTTGCGGAGCTGCACGACCTTCAACTATCCCCTCTCTTAGGTCCCTTGCCTTTTTAGCTAAAGCTGGTTCTGCTGTCCTGGTCTCCATTGGGGCTAGTATACCCCGCATGGTTACTAATGAAGTAAAGATGAAGCCAAATTCATCACCTCAAACCATTTCAATGATCATAAAAGTTTTGATTTTTTCCTTTCCTTGTGCTAATATTTGGCTGGGAAGATTAAGACGTCATTAATATCATGTCCAAGAATAATTCCACAAATTGATAGCATATTATTGGATAAGCTGATATGTATAGTACTAACCTAATGTCACTGAGCTCCATAGATGGGAAGGAGTTGTCGGAGATAGAAGTTGTTGGAGAAGATTGAGTTAGTAGAAAGTCATAAAGAGACCTTAAAAATAAAATTGAAGGAACATGTAAGATAAGTTGTGTTTCTGTTTCTGCTTCTTATCAATCAATGGCATCTTGCTGAGTGAAATTCCTATTTTCTGCAGCAAGTAAAAGTTCTGAATCCCAGGTAGCTGGAAGTTTTCCCTCAGGCTAAAAAAGATGAACTGCACCGACTGAAAAATAAGCTGCCTGCTGTTGTTGTGAAGGTATGACAATCATCAAGATTTGAATTTGATTTAATCTGTGGGTTTTCAGTTGAGAATTGATTAATCAGTTTTATCTGAACTACTCTGTTGACTTACATTTGTAAATATTCTTGGGATGTCAGGGTATTACTACAGTTCAAAGGGCTGTGGTGAACAAAGAACAACAAAAAGATCATAAAAATGATGTCAATGGGGAAACATATGAGTTGCTTGTTGAAGGGTAAGTTTTATGTATAGCCTCTTCCACGTTCTACATCATTAGGTTGTGCTCAGTTTGGTTTAGCAAGCCTGTTATTTTCTACAATATTCCTAGATGCATTCAATATCTCATAATTTATTTCTCTTTTACAGTAGAGATTCAAAAGTTATCCCACTTCACATTCCTTATTCTGTATTTCTTACGTTAAAAATAACCTAAGAGGGCTAATTAGGTTATCGAAAGCGTTATACTAATCCAGAGAATTCAACATTCCCTTTTCAAACAGTTGCTTAAAAGTGAAGTAGAATGGAACTTGGGCAAAATGAATTTCGAAAAGCGGGATTAATTGTTGACAGAGTTGTTGGCCTTCAGAATGAATTCCTCAGGGTGCATTGCAACTTTCTTCTAAATACAGCTGTAATATACTGTGGTTGACGTTACGGTTGTGCTTAGCTTTACAGGAGATCGATTTCCATTATTATTAGATCAATTTTTGTTTTTTTGTTTGAATAGTACTGCTAGAGAAATCACCATTGTTTAACCCCCCCAGACCCACTTGTGGGATTCTTACTGGGTATGATGCTATTGTTGTGTGTAACAATAAAGAATTATATCAGATATCCCGAATGGATGGAGGGTTCATGGGCAAGAACTGAAATAGAGTTCAGCTGCCCTGCTGATATACTCCAGTTTTAGTAGGGATTTTGTAGTGTCGTCTTCTTAGTGGCAACAAAAATGATAAGCAAGAACTTTACCTTGCTCAAAAATAAAACAAAAATGATAAGCAAGCTTGTAAGAATAGCATAGACCATAGTATTACGCTTGGCTCACATAGATTAGGGTGGTAGACATAATGTCTTTCTTTGTGGGATAGAAAGGATCCCAAAACTTTAGAACTGAATTTTGGATCCGTGAGATTGAGAACAAACACTCATAGTTGTCACGAGCTAAGAACTAGTATTCTTACTTTAAAGAGTTTGAACGATAGCATATAACACAATAGGTTCTTTTACCGTAAAAAATACTAGTTGCTCATTTTTATGTATTTATTGAGTAATTACTGGCCGATTCACCTATCAAAAAAAATTACAGGCTTTTGCTTATTTCTGAGCACACAATTTTGGTTTCAGCAGTGGATTTGCAATTTCACTGGGATAAGGTTGAAGCATCTGAAAGGCAGCCAGATGGCTCCTTGTTTAGTTGGTTTGAGCGCTACTGTTGCCACCGTCACATAATATATGGGATTGTGAGTTAACTGGAATTCTAGCTTACTCTAGATCTTGTAAATACTTTTCCTAATGGATGCATAAGTTTATTCCCGCCTTCATTTGATTGTCTATATCAGATTAGGCAAGTCTAAAGCCAACTTTTCCAGTGCTCTTTAATTGTTCCATCTTTGCAACTGTTATTTCCTTTCCCTTTATCAGAAATAAATCTGATTGTCTTAATTTATTCCAAAAAAGGAGTTGTCTGTGTCTTAATTGCAATCTAAACTGGTATATAAAAATTCTTTTGTTATGTAATATCTCTCAATGTATTCCTCCACATATTTTTAGTTCATGTTTGCTAAGTCCAAAATTACAGGTGAACACAAGCACCTCAACAGTTATATTAAAGTCTGATGGAAATGAGGTGCACTGGGAGCCAGGAAAGCCTCTTTTGCGAACATTGGAGTCTATGGGCATTGAAAAAGAAGTGTTCCCTGTACATGGTATGTTTTCTCTGATATGTTCAAGTTAACAGTGGTCTAGAAACATCCATAGAAGATTAAAATTTACTTTGCAGATGAAACAAAGAGGAAGCAGCTTCTAAGAAGTTGAGCATTGAACTGGTGGGACTCTACTGGCAACCTATAGATGATATTTGTAACTATTATGGAACGAAGGTGAAGTTTTTGGAGGAGTCTTTTGCCATTCTCTAATTATGTTATGGTCCACTGTTATTTGTGTCCATGTTCTCTACGATGTACATTTTCTACTTGCTTAACACCCAATACATAATGTCAACAATAGATAGCTTCCTATTTCGCATTTTTTGGGATGTACACAAGATGGATGCTCTTCACAGCTGCATTTGGACTTACAGTGCAGTTAGTGGATTTTGATTAGGTCAATCCCACTTTCCATTCCTTTTTACTTTCGAAGTTTGTTTTAATTTTAATTCTGATTCTGAACAGGCTCTTATATATTCTCCAGGTCATTGCAGTTGTATGTCCTTTCTGCTTTCTTTATAAGCATAATTTCCTGGTCTGTGTTATTTTTCCAATTCTGGAAACGTAAAAACTCGGCGCTTCTTGTCAGGTGACACATTCAACATGATTATTCTGTTCGTTTCTGTCACATCTTTTGTATCTGCTATTGAAGTTATTTGGATTGGCATCTTCCTTTCGTATTTCACTGCCTGGAGTGCAGGTGGCAGATGAATATCCGGCTGGTGTAGACAATGAATCTAAATTCTTGGAAGGTGAATGGTTTCAGTTTCAGTCCCCTGTGGAACTCATGAAGAAACAGGGAGCTGACAAAACTGATAAGCCAAGAGGAAAAGAAGCATTCCAAAGAGAGGAATGGCTTGGTCATTTCATGAGATTCAGAAATGATGCCATGTTTTACTGAGCATTATATGTCTTCAGTTGTCTTTTGAATTGGCTTTTGCTCATGTCTATGAGGTTTTGAGGTCTGACGTATCAAAGTAAGCAACTTTATATTCTTCTGCCCATGACATTAGAGTACTTTGTCCATAACAACATGTTTTATCTATATTTACCAACTTTTATCATTTTTTGCTTATAAAATAAGAAAGGAAAAACATACCATCTTATGTCTGAAGTCCCAATATCATCCCGGTGTCTGAGATATCTTCAGGTTGATGGATAAGATTCCACGTCAAGATCCTCTCATTGGCATTCATCTTAATGTAAATAATCTAGGATGCATTACTTTTAAGTTTTAAGTCTCCCAGTTCAGCAGCCTAGGATGACTTAAAATTTCACATCATGTATATTGATGTATTACCTATTTTTATATGAGTAGGTAAGGAGCCCGTATTCGATTTTGCTTTTGCAGAACAACATCACAGAGATACGAACAGATGCACTGAAATTGCTTGCCGTTTAAGAAGGCCCATTCCACGTCCTGGTGCAACAATCAACATTGTAGTTCAAGATAAAACAGAACATGAACAGTGATTTCACAGAGTTTAAGGTGCATTTTTTTGTTTTTACCCACTAAAATTCTGTTAAAAGTCGTCAATTGTTCTCTCAGATCACATATGCACATCAAAGGGAGATGACACATCTATATTAAAGGAAAGTTTTGTATCTCTAATACCTCGTATGAATTGCAACTACATCATCTTCACCAAAGCTATCTTCATCAGCACCAAGGCTGCACAAAAGAGAAGGCAGCATCTTAACACTGGTTATTCATTTGTTTGGTAAACTATAACATGCAAGGGGTATCTTGCAGAC